TAAGTAAGAGACGATTTTTATATAGTTAATAACAATTGCTTATGTAGTTTTAAAATTTATATTAATGTTATATAACATATGATAAAATATAACTTTTTCTTTATTTTCTATGATCTTTATTTTTTTAATATATAAATATATATAAATATTATAATATTGAATATTAAAATATAAATATATAAATATTATAATATATATAAATGTATAAATATTTAATATATAAATTTATGTAAATTAATATATATAATTTGATACAAATATTTATATAAATATTTTATATAAAATAAAGATGAAAAACGCGTAATTTCAGTTTGCAATAAATGTATATTAAAAAACTAGGCAGTTAGGATTACTGTTTTCGAGTTAACATATGTGAAAATGATTCTATAAGTTAGTTTAAATATTGAATTAGATGTCATATGATATAAATGCCTCGATATGTCATACTGTTCTATTCTCTCTGATTAATTTCCCGAAAATATGAAAAAATATGTATAAATCGAGAAATATGGCGTTATCGAGTGCATTTGACGAATCGATATATAGAGGAATTCTCTACGGTAGGGTCATGCGACCAGGCACGGAAGAGAATGTTAGAGAGAATTGAATAGAGATACGTTATAAAGCGAGAGAAAGTGAGAGGGATGAGAGAGAGAGAGAGAGAGAGAGAGAAGCGGATTTCTAATTACAGCAACTGTCGTCCTTGTAAGTGAGATTTACTGCGAATCCCGCGTATTAATTGGCTGCTACCAGTGCTGATTAAACGTATTATTTGCCAATTTGCTATTGTCATGAAATTCTCACTCTATGACGTAACAAAGATGATAAAGCGTATGAAAATATATGAAGATACTTTTTTTTATATTTGTATATATATATGTGTGTGTGTGTGTGTGTGTGTATATATATATTAAAACCAGATGTTCTTTTAATATCAGATTCTCTTACTAATTTGAAAATGATATTTTTCGATAACTTCAAATATCGAATTGAGCAATAAATTTCACAAAATAATTGCAAAAAAAGGACACTTTTCACAAACTGTATTTTGTGGAATTAGAACTCCATTCTTCAATTAAATTTAAATAAAAGTTTAATTTCGAACTTATAAAGTTATATGATTGAAAAACGATGTATATGTATGCGTATAAAAATACATATATATATATATATATATTTTATCCACAAAGCATTCGATTATTCACGTTGTAAGCATACAGATGATAATTTTATCGAGGTGCAGGCAATGTAAATACATTTAAACATTAAACACGAGCACAATTCGTCCTCACTCGTAGCGTGGAATTAAATTTGCGAGAACGATATATAGCATTAACGATATCGCTTCACTTTCACGAAGGCATGTGTTATCGGTTATTCGTTATTAAATGTAGAATTTATGTTTCCATTTATTATTCAATATTCCACGTGCCGTATTGATTGTGAATTTATAGATATCTATCGGGAAATTGAAATACACGGCATTGTAACACAGTCGAAATTTAATAAATTTTACGTATATAGGCTCTTGCGGATGATCTGTAAAGGGAAGAGACGAGTATAAAAGGATATAAATAAATCGACTTGCACCTTGGGATCTCACGAGAAAAAACGTTCGCAAGAATATATGAAAGGAAGCATTGTCACGTTTATTCTTCTATTTTTGCTTTCTGTAATTTATAAATCGTAACTCTCGATGTATATTTTGAATTTTATTTAAAATTAAAATTCCATGAAAGCAAATTTCCTCGAATTTAACGGCAAATAATATTACTAAAAATCATTATTATCGAGCACCTTTGATTCATACAGAAAGTATTCTTTCCTATGTTTGCTCAATCATTTATAAAATATTAATTATTATATCTTAATATATAATATATTTAATATATTATATTATAATATATTTTATATATTAAATATATTTAATATATTAATTATTAATTATATATATATATATCTATATATATCTTATATTTAATATATTATATTCTATATTTTATTTAATATATTAATATATTTTATATTTAATATATTTAATATATTATTATATTTATCTATTAAATATTATATATAATATCGAATATTATATATCATATAATATTAATAATTATATATTAAAATATAAATTATTATTATATATTAATTATTAATCGCAACTTTACAAAGAATGAAACGATGTGTTTGTGTCTTTTTTTCTGTTTAATTCCGAGACACTTTGCATTAAAAGTCAATGACATAGAAAACCGAGAGGAGCGATAAGGTGAATGGAGGAGAAGACGAATAGGGCGATGAAACTGATTTTCTCGAGGCAACGCATTTTCACGCGCAATATCCTTGACAGTCCGCACAAGCGGTCGCTCAAGTAGCTGTATAATGAAAAGTGGCCGAGGCGCCGAAGGAATTCCGACGATCCTTTTTCTCGTTTACGCAGTCGTACGCCCCGATGGGGGAATTACTTCCCAGCTACAAAGTTAGCTTCATAAAAAGCTATCAGCTACATCGAGTAAAATGCTCCCTCCCTGTGTGTGTATGTTGATGAGATGAATTCTTTTTTCTCGTGTTAGTCGAAAATAATAAATCATAAATGTTTCTTTATTTAGACGAATCTTAGAACGATATATTTTAAATTCCACCATGAATTTTCTTCATCGTAATCATAACTATCCGGGAAAAAATTATTGATATATAATTATATGTAAAATGTGTCCATTTTTATATATAATTATATAAATTTATATATAAAAATTATAAGGATTTATATATAATCATGTCAAATTATATATGAAACGTATATATTTATATATATATATGTTTTTATATATAATTTTTGACATGAAGAAATACTTATTTATTATATATATAAATTTATATAAGTATATATAAAAAGCACTTTAATCTAATTGTGTATGGACATATTTTATATATAATTTTGCGATTATGTGTATAATTTTATATATCTTTATATAATTTTATATTGCTATATATAAAAAATTTTTTACGAGTACGAGTAATTAATTTGCACAAAGCGATTAATTTAGAGTAACTGCGTTATCGATGTATTGCTTTTTCTGGAGAAAAATATTTATCAAAATATTTTTTATAAATAAAAATATACGTACAACATATAAATACAATATATAACATACATGTATATGTATGTGAATAATAATTTAATTCTAAAAATGTACATGTAATTATTTTAAGGTGTCTTTATGAATTGTATTTTTAATTATTGTTAAAAATATATAAACAGATTGCATTTTCCATTCATTAAACATTCGTTGCATTCATTAATGCAGTTATTTCTAACAGATATTGATATTTTCGTAATGCTTGTTACATTTTTAAGGTAATTGCAATAATTTGACAAAAAAATCACAAACAGAAAATGAGTTTTTAACCGGCAACAAATTGTAATAATAGAAATTAGCCGAACGCTTTCTGTTTGATAAAAAAGTAAGATCATTTTTACTTTTTAAAATGACGGAATTTTTAAAATAATAATGTAGATGATTAAAAAATTCAATAAGTGTATGCAATGTTATTTTAAATAATATTACTACTCAATAAATCCTTTTAAATTTGATCATTTTGATTATCTTGAATATTGCTCAATTTCATTATTTTGATTGCATTGATTTATTTTATCACATTTAATCAGCACGATTTTTAAAAAACCATGAGAACTGTATATTGTATATACCTACATTTATATGTGTGCATTTTAGCAATTTAACGTGAATGTAGAAATAATTTCCTACATTAATTTTCACTTTACATAGTTGAAATTATTGTCTCGCAGATTAAATATTGAATAAACGTTTCGAATTATTTAATTAGTAAATCGTGAGAATAATAATAGCACACAACAAAAATATTGACCATTCATATGCAATTACGTACACACATTTATATAATTCTCTCTACAATTGTGCTTTTATAAAAATATATTTTTCTATTTACATGAAAATATCTCTCGAACGAACGAGAATAAAGAAGAAAATATTGCTGACTGTTAAATATGACTTTATTCAACAGAGCAGCAGCGTGCGTAGCAACCAAAAATACCAGTTGAACTTTGTAAACAATGTTACAGATAGAAACTTTTGTGCGAAAAATTTATCAGGGTGAAAAAATTCCGCGGAAATCAATCGCGGTTTTCGCGCGTCAGCTGACTGCAAAAACAAGCCCCGGTTTATTTCGAAACGCGCGACCGGACGAATTGGATGCGAAACGGAAGCGTGTTACGGAGTAGTATATCGATTTCGGACAGATCAGGGTTCGGATTACGACTCCCTTCCTCAGTCGAGCAAATATGAGCGGTTTACGTTATGTACGTCGGTATACAGCCATGAAAGCAAATTGAACAGCTCGTGCTTTCATGCGGCACGTGGAGGGACAGTAAAGAGCCGAAGTCGTCGTCACTTGCAAACCAATCATTTCTGGTTTATCTAAAGGGCCAATCTTGTCGAAGCAGCGATGTCGCTTTTATACGAAATATTATATCAATGTCAATCGATTCGATCCAATTGTCGTAATTAATAAATGACGATTAGAAAGTATTTATTTTGCGCAGTTGGGCGTAGATTTGTCTCCGTGGACTAATTAAAAAGAGCTTTCATTCATTATTATTGGCTTTAGTACTTATTAACATTGAACTTGTAGGAAATTTGTGGTCAGAAATATTGAAGAACGCGACTAATTTTAATAGAAAATGATTTTTGTAAAATCTTTATAAAATAATTTTTATAAAATTTTTATAAAATTTTTATAAAGTAATTTTTATAGAATTTTTATAAAGTATATAATTTTTATAAAATAATTTTTATAAAATAATTATAGACACAATTATAATATAATTAAATTTTCTTATATGCAAGATATAATGTATTGTATATTAGGAATCTTTATTTGACTTTTTCTGAATTTTGAAAATATATTATATCGTTTATCTTGAATTTTGTAAAAAATCTATTTTCTTGCTCTGTATGTTTCAGAAATCAATATGGCTACTACGGAATCGTGCGATGGTGATACAAGTCCGACATGTCGGCCAAGGTAAGAATATTTTCACTTGCTTAAGAAATTACGTACTTTTGAAAAGTATGCTCTGTTTCTTAATAGCTTTATTCATTTTTTATTTAAAAATGTTTATAAAATTTTTATACAGTTTCTAAATTATACAAATAATTTTGATTTAAAACAAGAGTAAGGCCTAAAATATTTAATTCGTCTTACCAGATATAATTTCAAGTTTTGCTATTATGTTGCAATAATGAGGAAAAAGGAGAGAGAAAGAAAATCATGAATTTTGTTGAAAGTACACTTCATCCGCAAACCATCTGTAATTAATTTAGTATAAACCTGGCGGGAAATTTAATCAGACGGCGAGCTTAATCAGATGGCAACTTTGTTCTCTCTCTCTCTCTCCCTCTTTCACTTAAATAACAACTCGCTGCGCATTAATTATAATAATGCGATTGTCCGAGCTTAATACGCGTGGCGAGTTATATTATAAGCTTGCGGTCGATATATGGGATACTTTCGCTGGAGATACAAACTTTGTTGTTCCATGATGATGAATGTGTGATTAAATAAACCTATGACAATTGTTTAACACTTCGGCTCAATCAAACGCATAGGAAAATCGAGAATTAAAATATCTATATAAATTTGCATAGTGGGATATAATATTTAGAGATAGCGCGTTGTTAAAATATTTATACAAAGCTGTGAAATGAGACGGAAAAAAAATATTTACATGTTTGAAACGCGTTTTATCGAGTGTTATTGCATCGCGTAAGGTTGAAATATTGAAAAGATCAGTATCGCAATGTTATATCGACTGATAAAATATTTGAATTGAATTCAATATCAATTGAATATCAATAACATTTTTATAAAGATGCAGACACGTATATACATGATTGAAAATAATAGTGATACTTTGTGAAATAATATATTTTAATACTTTTAATTTACTTAATTTACTTTTATTATATTAACTCTACTCTATCAGTTTTAAACGATGAATAAACCGCTTTAAAACTTTTATTTAATAATACCTGTCTAGAGTATTTAAAGATAAGTATTCAATGAAATTCAATTTAATGATACTGCGTCAAAAAAACAATGCATAATATTTGCGAATACCCTTTTGATTTTAATTTTTGCTTTTATATAAAAAAAACTAATCTTAACACTTCGTCAAACTTAAAAAAAGACTAACATTTTTTAAATAAAAAATTCTAATTCTAATATTAACTTTTAGTATACTTATACATATAAATATGCACATTATTACCTATATTCTTTTTCTCAATATAATTTTCAAATACAAAATATTTCGATGCACAAATGCTGTGCGCAGTTTGTCAAACCTCATTTTTGTGAAAATTTGTAATTGTTATAAACAATTTTATCATGATTAGAAAAATAGAACGACGAAAAAGATAAACCAATCAAACTTATTGTGCAGTGCAAAAACTTCTTTTTACGCGTGTGCTTTTGGCACAATAACAATATCCCTAAATTCTATAGCAGAGCTTCGGTCGACTCTGAAGGGATTATCCTGCCACTGCTTTTGCTAATCCAAACTCACGAGCGAAGGTTGAAGCCGACCCGAATCCTCTTGCGGAAGCGAAAAGAACAAACCAAGTTGAAAACAAAAATAGAACAAATGTGGCAATCAATCAATCAAAGAAGCACATATATTTAAACTTTTAATTTTAAATTACATTGAAAAAAAAACCAAACCTAGTAAATTAAAGATAATATGTAAAGCAAATAATATTAAATTATTAAGTAATTAATTACCAGTAATTATTATTATTATTGTAAATATTTGTATTAATATAAAGAGAGATCAGTCAAATTAATATATATATATTTATTATTAAAAATAATGTGAAATATATGTTAGAATTAAATCAAATTATTATAAGTTAATTAAACAGTTGTATACAAAAATTGTACAATATATCCTATTAAAGAAATTACGTTTTTAAAATTATTATTATTAAAATTTTGGAATTTCTAAAGAATCAGAATATTTTTAAAACACTAATATTTTATAATATTTTTCTTTCGAAGAGGTTTTTAGAGACTGTTTTTTTTTTTTGAGATAATGTCGTCGAAGAATCAACATTTTTACTTGTGCGATTAAAAGAATAAAACGATTAAGAAAATAAACCGATTTTTAATTGTGCGATTAAAAAAATAAAACAATTAAGAAAATAAACCAAAGCTCTGCAAAAATCTCACTTTACTTGCGTATATTATAAAATGAATAAAATGTATAAAAATAAAATCTGGGTATAATAAAAAATACTTTTTAAAATAAAAACATAAATACGTGTACTTTTCAGCAGTATTGAATAAACATTTATATGTTAATAAACTATTTATATGTACATACACGCAAAAATATACACACAAATACAAAACACACGAATTTTTACTGGTTAAGAATATATTTCACGGATTTTAAAAATAAAGCTGTTCAATAATATAAATATAAAAATTATATTTATAGTTTAAAGTCTTGATATGTATGTTTTTATAATAGATCACGTAAAATAATAAAGATCTTTATCTTTACATCACGCATTACATATCACGAAATGTGCGAAACGTGTGTATTAAAATTGATATTTGTTTCAAGTTATATATGTAGCATAAAGATACGACTTAGAAAATAGTTTCCAAGCAAATATATATATTTTAAAGCAGCGGTATTTGTAATCAATATTATGTGTACAATAGCCTTGATGATAAAATATTCATATTTGTTTTATTGAGTTGTTAAATATAAAAAAAATAATTTTATGTGTGTGCATACGCGCATTAATTAAAATTAAAACACCAAGATAATAAATAATAAGTAATAAATTAATATTTTTAAATAAATTTTACTTACTAGGTTTTTCATACATGATTACTATGAAAATGACTTAGAAATGCATAGAGTCGCGCATTTTACGTGATTATAAAAATGATAAGTTTGTGTCGCTACAGGATCCATTTATTATTAATCATTGATTATAATTTTAAATATTCGCACAGTTTGACCAGAAAATGTATGTTTATAGACATGTCATTTATTTTCTATTGTGTAATTGAAAATTAATCGTTTACATATATACATATTTTAATGTTTTATAATTTAAACTTTTGGAAATGTATATGTCATTGTATGTCTCCTGTAAATTCTTCAATTACCAAGTTGTTGACTTCGTGTAGTACGCCTTCACCATTGCTGCCACCTCTGGATAATCTTTAATTTTACTTGCTATATGCATAGAATTATTGTACATCTAAAAATAAAAAAATTATTTTGTTATAATTTGCAACAGACTGTGAATTGTATGGCAGACCCTGAGTCATTTTGATCCGTAGTGAAATTTCTTTTATACGCATCTTCAATATAAAATTACGCATCCAATATAAAATTTTGTATTAGAATTAAATTTAATTTTTTATTATATATTTTTCAATTATTTTTATTTTTTAATTACTTTTTATTTTATTTTATTATTTTCTCCTTTAAAAAAAAAATGATACTTTTACGTTATATCATTAAAGGAAAAAAAGTATTCTTAAAATAAAATATTTTTGGACAACAAACATATGTTTGTTTTAATTATTGCATGAGTTTTAAAATAATTTTAAGATATGACCCAGCGTCCACCGTCTAAAAATTATAAAGCTATTTTTTTTCTATCTGTATAACTTACAGATAATGCGTACTTACCGTTTGGAATGCTTTTTCTGTCCATGACAGCCCCTAATAAAGAAAAATAATTTCGCTATATTTATGAAATTATATGTTTAATAAAAAGCGCATATAGACACATTCACAAATAATTTACACGATATTTTAAAACACTTAATTGCTATTCGGAAAATTGAAAAAAGAAGGAAAATGAAATTTCTTGCTACGAATTATTAAATTTTGTATAGTAACAAATTCTATATTTTTCGACTAATTGATTTTTCTCAAGAAAAAATATGAAAAAATATATACTAAATTAAAAGTTAATAAAAATACAATTGTAAGTGATAAAAGAGATAGCTTAAGACCACTTCAGCATACATGAAAAATTTCGAATTTTTTATAATTTAATATTAATAAAGCTGAAATATCAAAAACGCTGACAGCTGAGGAGACATTTTTTATGATAATAAATGAACATTGGATCTCTAAAAATGTGAAAAAAGTGATTTTACTATTGCAATTCAAAAACTGTGAAAGTTTTTGTGCATGCGGAGGATATTTATTTATATAATAATATTTTTATTTGGATTTTATATAAAATTTTTATCTTATTTTTAAAAATGTATTAAAATTCTAATTAATTATATAATTCAAAATTATAATTTTTAAGTTAGTATATTAAAATTTTAAATGTTTTTAAATTTTTCCTAAATCGATAATTGGATTGAGCAAAGTTTTCCGATTTTTTAAGGGAAACTTAAGATGAGTTAAATAAAACTTTATTAAACAATATATATTGAAAAAAAGGAGAAAGAGAAAAAGAGATTTATTTTGTTCGATCATCTGTCATTTTCTGTCATCTTTTAGATGTTCTCATTTTAGTAATAAAAATCTGAAAATAAACTTTCTTACTCTCTGTTCGACTTTCAAGCTATTATAATTTCAAACACGATAAACACAGCTGATCTTGTCTCTTTTTCTTCAACGATATATTGAAATGTCAGTTTATGTACGCGCACGGAAAACTAAAGCTAAACTACTCACTTAATGCGATGCTAAAGCTGTCTAGTAAAAGAAAAACGAAGAAACTTTTAGCCAATTCAATTTTTGTGTTAAATATTTAACACATTTATGTGTTAATATAAAATATTGCTGTTGTGTTAATTTGATACATATTTTTAAAATATTAGTTTGACTCTATATTCAGAAATATTTCTAAAAATATTTTTAAACGTGAGAGAAAAAGCGGACACAGAAACACTTTAAAAATATTTCGAAAATTATTTTATCTTATAAGAAACATTTTTAAGAAATTTTAAAAATATTTTGTGCTGTGTGGGTGTAATATCTGTTAAATTTAACACACATTTTTTAACTGTGTAAGGATATACTGTTAATTTATAAAAAAATCTGAGTACAGAGTTTATGATTAAAGCTTACGCCGAGAATAGTTGGTATGGACAAAGCATACGCTTCGATCGCTTCCTCAGGAGTGACAGGTTTTGCAGGTATAGACATATCTTCCTCGGAGGATGAAGAAGCAGAGGATGATGCCTCAGGAGGAGGCTTCTCAGGAGGAGTCTTCTCGTCAGACTTAGCTGCTCTCGCTTCCACTATAGGAGCTCGCACGATTGCTATAGTGCAGATTATAGCAAGTGCTAATGACAGGCATAACAATCGCATTCTGTGGCGCTTATTGACACTCCAGTTACGTCGACCTACACGTTTCTGAGTTATCGTCACGAACGCGCAGCGCTTATATTGATATGTATATATACTAAAAATACGAACACACTCACAGTTTCGTGTCTAGAAGGAGTACTTATATTCTTTATTACAATTATACATTTTATCATGGCAATATTTTTATTTCTCTTTCACGACACGCACACATTGAAAGAATATTATTTTATATTATGTAATTTACACACAGTAGAAACATTAACATATTATTGTTTTGTCAATTGGATTTAAATGTTAAATTATTAAAAGAACTGATAAAATGTTAAAATAACACAATGTACACCTATTTTTAATTTTACACAATAAATATGTTCTGCTTTATTAGTGACAAGATTTATTTTAAAATTGACAGAAAATGTGGATTTTCTATTTTATATTGTAAGTGGAGATGATAAAATCTAAAATTAGTATATTTTTTGTTAATTTTACACAAAATTTATTTTAAATGATTTGAAGTTTTGCATTTATTTAAATTATGTTAAAATTGTTTATATTATGTTAAATTAACACAAAAATTTCTGTGGACCGTTTGGGACATGTGAAATCTGTTAAATTTAACAGAAATTTTTTAACTGTGCAATAAATGTTTGTAATTGAAAGGTATAGGATGGTTTTACACGAGAAAGAGCTTAAATATAAGCAGAGAAATATTTTTCAAACTTTAAAAAAAGAAAAAAAAATAAATTTTTTCATTATTAGCGATGAGGTTTCTGATGAAAGAGATATTTTTCAAGCATGATATTGCGTACATAACAAAAAAGAAAATAATATAATTTTCTATTATCCATTTGTACGTATAAATTTTGTCATGGAAATCTTTATTTTACGTGAGAAATGTATAATATTGAAGAAGTGTAATATTTGGCGAAGGCTATATAGGCAATAAATTGTTGCTATATGTATCGTAATACTTTGATACGTAACACGTGAGCATTTTTTAAAGATAGATACACGAACTTTATAGCTGTGTATGAGATAATTCTGGAAAATAAATGTCTTCCTGTGTAGATAGACGTATGTGCTTTGTCGTTGTGTAAGAGAATTATATACTAGATAGATATTTGAATAACGCGAAGCTATATAATGTTATTTCGTCGTGCGTAACTTTAATGTTCGGCACTCGAGGTCTTAACGACCAACATTGTGATTGGATCATTTAATGGCCATTTCAACGTCCATTAATCTCTTTCCGACCTGAAGACAGCAACAATTGCGAATCCTGATGTAATTTGTTATCTCTAATATCCGAAACGAGATATACGGATATGCTCTTATTTGCGTAGCACAACTTGGATGATTTTTAAATTCAATATATGTTACAATAATATCATCATCTGTGTGCATTTAATTTTTTAAAAATTATTCATCTATTTTATATTCCATTTCGATGTTTGTAATAAACGATTGTTTGTTAGCATTAAGAAAGAAAAACAACTTTAATTTATTAATAAAAGAATTGAAATTATAACGAAAAATAATTAATTAATCATTGTTTCATTTTTCTGGATCGATAGAAAAATAAAAATTATTATTAATTAATTATTATTAATTAATCAATTTTCGAAATTATTTATCTATTTTATATTCCATTTCGATGTTTGTAATAAACAATTGTTTGTTAGCATTAAGAAAGAAAAACAACTTTAATTTATTAATAAAAGAATTGAAATTATAACGAAAAATAATTAATTAATCATTGTTCCATTTTCTGGATCGATAGAAAAATGAAAATTATTATTAATTAATTATTATTAATTAATCAATTTTCAAAATTATTTATCTATTTTATATTCTATTTAGATGTTTGTAATAATGATTATTTATTAGTATTGAAAAAGAAAAACAATTTTAATTTATTAATAATAAATTGAAATTATAACGAAAAATAATTAATGAATAATTGTTCCATTTTCTAGATCGATAGAAAAATGGGACAATTATGATTAATTAATTATTTTTCGCTAATTTCAATTATTTCATTAATAAATTAAATGAAAAATAAAAGTGACTAGAGTTTCAGCGGTGATTTATTTTAAATTTCAGAGAGAGCAGAATTCATAGCGTCGGTCTACCAGTTAGAACTTCACAGCTTCCGGAACCGCCGTCTACCGGAAATGATATGCCGCCACCAATACCACGTCGACATTCTGCTACTCCGGCGGTAACAAATTTTACTTATTTCTGATTGTTGTCCCATAAATTCAGTTTGAACGCGATTTAGATATCCGCATTTACATTATTCGTCTTATTTAAAATGTATCCGTGTTCAAGAGTGTAATTTATTTTGATAAATGCACAGTGTTCTACAAGATATTTTATTCGGCATATATTGTATAACTCGTTTAATATATTTATTATATCTATTTATAAAAGCTAACATAAATTAAAAAATAGTTATGTTACTAATTAAATAGATGTAATAATCTCTCTCGCGTATAAAATTATACATATTATTCGAAGATTTTCTTTCTCTTTGACTTATTCACTATAAATATACCTGATTATATATATATATATATATATATGTATAGACAAGTATAAATATTTGTAGATAATATTGGTGTGCACTTTCGCAAAAGAAAATATTAATTATTAATGTATATTTATAGTATGTCAGCTATTTGTTCTGATAAAATACTATATCGGATAATTGAAACATATTAAAGAGAAAGTTGCTGTAATGAATAAAGGGAACAGAAAGGCCAGAGATACTAAAGGGATTTTCGAACTTTGTATCTCCTCCCACGCAGATAAGTTTGGAAAGTTAAGCAACCGCATCGTCAGTATTTTAACGTATATATATACATATATATTATATAATACATACATATGTGTATATAACTTCGACATCTTAAATCAGGCGACTAAAGCCGATAGTTAGCGGTACACCGTTATTTCGTAAATTAATAATCCGGACCCGAAGATTGGCCGCTTAAATTAAAGTTTCTGCACCAAAACGGTTTCTTGCAAAAAGAAAAATTAATTACGATAGAGATATATAGAAGCATGTATCTTATTGCGCAAGAATACGTTATACTTTAATATTGTAACCATGCTAGTTACAAAAATACGCGATAAAAAAGGATTTTTATTCAAAAAATTTATGCTGATTTTAATTGATTTCGACATCTATTTCAGATAAAATTTCAAGATTCTATTTTTTTTTTTAATCAAACATCTTTTAAAATATTTTTCCTTTAAATATATTATTTTTGATACATTTCTGATTTCGAAATATCTCTGATTTGAAATGAAGTTTCTTCATCCTATGTGTGTAAATGTATAATATATCATTGTGCTTTGTTTTTTATTGTCTATAATTTGTACTAAAAATAAGCAATTTATTTATTAGATTATTTAATATTTAATTTATTTAATAGATTTATAATAAAACTTTTGTTGTAATATCATGATTAAAAAACAACAATGAAATACAAGTTTATTTGCTATTTTTATTCTTGTGTGTGAATTTTGTGTTATTACTCATACAGTACAAAAGATTTTTGAAATCTTTTAAAATTATTTCTTAAAAGATAAAATAATTCTCGAAAATATTTTTAAATTCTATATCCGCTTTATGTTTAAAAATAATTTTGAATATAGATTTAAACTAATATTTCAAAAATATGTATCAAATATTTAAAAAAATATTATCTGAGCAATAAAGAACATTTTTAAAAATATTTTTAAAAGTTTTTAAAAATATTCTAATAAATGTTATCACACAAATTTTTTTAAATCATTTAAAAATATTCTTAAAATCATTTTAAAATGTTTTTATGCAATATTTTATAAAAATATTTAGAAACACTTTTTGAAAACATTCATAATATTTTGTGCTGTATGGGTATAGAAAAGAATAGAAGAATTGAAATCTAAAATTTAATTATAATAAATGATAAATGATTTATTGTGCTAATGTGTGTAAATTTTAAAGATAAAGCTTCAAATATAAACGTGATTGAATATACATATATGTAATTATAAAATTTAATGGAAATCAAAGTCTGTATTTTTGATTTTGCATTAACTGAACATCAATAGATCAACATTTATCAATAAATTACGATGACACTCAAAGCTTTCGATAAACGTTAAATGTGCGTTTAAAGCGCTCAAGGTATTAAAGCGTGATTCATGCAAAGATAGTTTGTCGACGATAAATGTTTAGAGCTAATGAACTTGCGTGTTACTTTACGTGTGTCAACAAGCCGATTAAACTTGATGTTTATCTTCTAACGGTGATAAGCGTTGTAACTTTACGCGTAACTTTTGCGTCAATTTACGCAAATCACGTAACTCATTCGCCGGTGAATACCTATTACATAAATGTTGATGTTTTCACCGTAAATTAACAGTTAATTTATCCGAGAGAAAGAATTTTTTCAAAAACAACTCCATAATATGTTTAAAGGTCATTAGATATGAAGAAGTATAAAAGCAAATTTAATTAAGAAAAATTCTGACAAAATATTAACGTGATCCTAAACGTTTTTGAGAAGTCTGTTGTTTTTTTCTTTTTTATCGACAAAATATGAGATTAAATAAATTATAAATCTATTTATTAACTATACAGATTGTTTTTTATCTGAAATTATAACGCTTCATCCTTTCTTAATATTAACAAAGGGCGAAGCGCTCTAATTTCAGGTAAACAACAATCCGTATAGCTAATAAATAGATTTATAGTTTATCTAATCTCACATTTTGTCGATAAAACAAAAAAAAACAACAGATTTCTCAAGAACGTTCAGGATCACCTTAATAATCTTAATTAAAACCTTATATCAAAACTTTAATTCCTAAACGTCCTTTATTGGATTTTCTAACGTGTATTATTCGATGTCGATATAAACCATCCAATTTACACGTATTGTAAATTTTAACAGATAAATCTTGTCACTAATAAAACAGAACATATTTATTGTGTAAAATTATAAATAAATGCACATTGTGTTATTTTTACATTTTTTTTCACTTGTTTTAAATAATTTAACATTTAAGTTTAATTAATAAAACAGTAATATGTTAAATTAACACATGAATGTATTAAATATTTAACACAAAAATTTTAACGGGGATAAAGCATCTATTAAAAATACGAGAAATATTAAAAAATAAGAATTTTATTAAATAATATTTCTATATAATAATATTAAATTAATAAACATTATTTAAACTCTAAAATTCACTTATATTAATCATTTAATAAAAAATATGAAGCGTAAAGACGCTCAGTTTTTAACAAGAAAACACAAATTTTTTTACTGTGTAATAATTGAGATGGAGAGATTTTTTACCGAATAATATCGAAAGAGACGAAAAGAAAGAAAAATCTTCCAATATTTTTAGAAAATGTTGACAACCATGAAGATACAAAGTACCCTATTTTCGACATATATACAGGTAGCACCACCTCCGATTCCGCTGAGACCGCCGGCGATCCCGAAGAGAAGCAAGAATGAGAAACCTATACCCCTACAACCCACAACCAGGCAAGATAGTCAAGTGACTCGTCATAAGACGAGCGATTCTTCGTCCGCATCGAAAATGCTGACTGCGTGGAACAACGTGGATTCTTCCAACGAAAAACTTATAGACTTGGGTCCTTTCAGAGATCAACATCAGAAATCACAGGTAAAGATAGGACGTGAGAATTATTATCGGAAAAATAGCGACAGTTGTGACAAGTCAGTTATAAAAAGAATGAAATTTTTCCGATTGGATGTGTAAATTCGCGATTTTAATACACGCAGCCTAATTTAAATAGAAAAAATAAAGCATCGATTAAAAATACGAGAAATATTAAAAAATAAGAAATTTATTAAATAATATTTCTATATAATAATATTAAATAATGTTTATTAATTTAATATTATTATATAGAAATATTATTTAATAAATTTCTTATTTTTTAATATTTCTCGTTTAATATAATTTTTAATATTTCTCTATTAATATAAATTAATCATTTAATAAAAAATACGAAGCGTAAAGACGCTCAGTTTTTTTTTAAAGTCGATATCTCTATCAATTTGCGTTATATCGTAAACACGAATTGATGAATTAATTTTGTATGAATAGATTTTTATGTCTTTCTTCGTATCTTCATGAATTGCAGAATTACTTGTTAAGTTACGGCGAGAAGAACGAGGAGGAAATGAACGAGTGCAACGATTTTGTGGTCGACTTCGAGCGAGCGAATTTTCAGGAAGGTCGTAAACTCGCGCAAAACTCGAGCTTCGAGGAGCTGCAGAAGGCCTCGTTGGATCTCGAGAAGAGGCTGCACGAGAGAATTGTTAAGAGAGTCGAAGCAAGATTCGAGGACTCGAACGGCCGAATGGATCCACAACGACAAGGGTCAGCTATTATTTCGCGGCCTAATAGGTAATTGCATGTTTTTTTTTAAATATACAGAGTGTGCTAGGGTGTAGAAAATAAAATTAATCAGCTGTCATTTTTTAATGCATGCAGTTACTGAGAAAAAGAATTGTGTTGAAAAGAGGAAAATCTACAGTTTTTAATGGATAAATAAAATGTTTTTGTATATCAGTTTATCTTATTTTGATAAAAAATAATGAAAAAAATGCTGATAATCATATAAACTTATGATAAATATTTTTTACAGTGCAAGATTTAATAGCAGCTGTTAAAAAGATCGTCAATAATATGAAAAATGACATGTTGGAAAAAGTTTTTACGGGGTTTCGTAAAGAATAGAATTTTGTGTACAAACACATTTTATTTATATCCATTAAAAATTGTAGACTTTCTTCTCTTTAACACAATTTTTGTTTTCTCAATAACTGAATGCATTAAAAAATGACAGCTGATTAATTTCAGCAATTTTCTATGGGCAGTGTTGTGCTTAGATGGTTTTAAAATTAGCTATAAAGGTGAGATAAAAATATATAAATTTATCTTAAATAAGATAAAGATAATTTTGTTTTAAATATATCTATATATCTATATAGATAAAAGATAAAAATTTATATGGCGATTCATCTAGATAATTTCAAGATAATATTATTTTTACGATCGCTTATGTAAACAATTATAAAAAAAATGTAAATTGTAAATGGGACATAAAAATACATTTATATTTTTATTTATGTTAAAGTTTTTTTATCACTTACTGCTTAAGTTCTACTACAAAAGTATTTTGTGTGCTATAACTTTAAACCAAATTATCTGAACATTATTCTAGATAATTTAGTAAAGATAATACTTTTTTTTATCTAAGATGTAAATATAAATAATAAGATAATCCATATTTTTATTATCTATATAAAGATATAAAATAATGCCAAAATTTAATCTAGATGATCATCTATATAATTTTATTTAGATAACAGCAAACATCGCTTATGGAAGACTCTGTGTTATTATAACATATACAACTCTCTCTACATTTTTCTCGTAATCTTGTGAAAAGATAATTGCACGGTGCAGTTTTTATCGTTCTGCTCCGTGCATCATATCGCGCAAATACGTAATAATGCAATGTTATCAGGCTTATACATACATATACATATATACATGTATATAGGATCCGTCATATTTAACGCCGAGTACGAGTTATGAAACACTCTACGTTAAAACTACTTGAATGCAGGATTTTCCCGCGTTTCACTAGCGTGAAGCACGCTTGCATTTCTCTCTCTCTTTCCTTCTTTCGAAAGTCTGCGCCGATTTGAAGCAAGATATTACGGACGATTACGCTTACGATAGGTTCGTTAAACGAAGCGTAAGTTTAGACTTTATTTCGACGCACGAAAGAATAATATCGGGTATTCTAGCAACCACCAACGCATTTTTCCTTTCTGTTTTTAAATCTCTCGTAGTTGGAAATAAAAATCGCATATTATAAAACAATTAGAAGAAAGCTTTAACACCTAATGAAACACTTTCAGTTATTATAATAAATTTATTATTTTACAACATTTTTTTAGAATATAAAAATGTGTGATGATTGTGTCTTAAACAAGACAAGTGTAATAAATATAATTAATAATTCGTAATAAAAATAATAAAAATAATAAATAATAATAATAAAATTATAATATATTATAATTAAATAATAATTATTAATAAAATTATAATATATTATAATTAAATAATAATTTATTAATAAAATTAAATATATTATAATTAAATAATAATTTATTAATAAAATAATAATAAAATTAATTTTCGAGGTACTAATTGTTTGAGCTTTCTCAATTGTAAAAAAAAAGCAATATTTTTATCTCAGTCAGTGTTTTGACAAATGATTAATTGATAATTATAAATCTAACAATCCCAATAATTTTGCGAACAAGTTATCGATAAATATCTAAAAATCATCTGAATTACCTCGGGAAATTTTGTTTCCTTTTCGTATAGGCAGCAATTGTCAAAATTCACGAGAGAGAATGAATCCAGCAGCTGTGAGCCGGAGTCATGCGAGGGCAAGTCTAGAGAAGAAACGTCATTACCGCGAAGGGAGATCTTTCCGAAAGACGAGTCGAAGTACGCGATGATTTTGGCAGCCGGTCGCGAGCGGAGATCAAAGTTCGAGGAGCTGCAGGCGGCCTCGAAGAATCTAGAGAGACGTTTGCACGAGGACGACGATTATCGTCGACGTCAGGAGATGGAGAGATGGCTGAACAAGGACAAGCCACCCAGGTGCTACAAGTACTCAAAACTTTGCCTCTATTTTACCCTCGCCATTTTTAATTCACAATTGCACAGATTATAATTGACCTGCAGAGTGAATATTCAAGCGACTATTTGTGTTGCATTTACACAAGGTTGGGTAAGTTAATGATTTTTTTTACTAACTAAGTTAAATTAAAGTTAGTTGCTTATAAAATTAATTTAGTTAATTTTAAAAAATATTATTTATATTAAATTAGAATTTTGTTTGTTAATTCTATTAAAATTTATAATAACAAATAACGAAGAAATATTGATTTTCATGTAGAAATATATTTTTTGGTAATTACAATTGATGACAAATGAGTATAAAAATTAATAATACTTTAATTTAAAAATACGTTTATAACTTATAAAAAAAACAATAATAATATTCAGAGAAAAATTTAACTTAGGAAAAAGTTAATAAGTTTAAGGTGAAAAATGTGTTAAATATTTGACACCAAAATTTTAACGGGGACCGTTTTTAACAAAAAACACACATTTTTCTGCTGTGTAGTTGTTATCCAACCCTGCATTTACATATATATACAGTTGAAAATTGTCTGTTTTTAAGTTAGATATCACCGGTTATATTATAAAATAAAAAATCAACATTTTTTTTGTAAATTTTAACAGATAAATCCTATCTAATAAAACAAAATATATTTATTGTACAAAATTAAAAATAGATGCACATTGTGTTATTTTTACATTGTTTTTGTTTTAATAATTTAAAATTCAAGTTCAATTATAACACATGAGTATTACATATTCAACACAAAAATTGTCACGGGGACCGTTTTTAACAAGAAAACACAAATTTGTCTGCTGTGTATAGGTACGAGGACCTGGAAGGTATCCAACAGGAACTTGACAGACGTTTCCACGGCGAGCAGAGGTCATTGGAGCAGCAACAGCAGCATCCAATAACACGAAGCAAATACGAGAGCGATATGGAAAGGGCCAGGAGTATTCTACAACATAATCTTAGGAAGGAGCGAGGCGGCGAGAAACTCGAGAAATTGCCGAAGGCAACGCAGACGAATCTACCGCCACCTCTGAGCGCCATTTGTCAGAACCCAGTACCGAAACCTATCAGTGTCCGACAGGACAGTAACGTTTCCTCGGATAGTTTTAGTCAGACCAGCTCGCCCAGCTACACCAGCAAGACAATGGAAGCACCACTTCTGCCTCAGAGACACGGCAAAGTCCCAGGTACGTTTAGTTCGCGAAGCTTCACCGAGCGATTGTCTCGTTACGGAACGTTGCCGAAGAAGTCATTAGCAAATGGACCAGTAGTTACTTTGTGAAACGGGAAATATTTTTGACATGCGCAGAAAAGAATTTTTGTCTCTCGCAATGATTTTTCAGATTTTATAATAAAATTAATTTTAGAATCGGATATAATGTTAATTTTTTTAGAAAGCTATATTAATTGTTTCATTTTATTAAGTTTGTAAATAAATCTTTTGTAAATTAATCTCGTGGTAAAGCTTAAAATGTCGTACAAAAAATACTACATTTTGGAGAAAATATTTCTATGTCAAAAGATTTTTCCACGAAATTACTCGTAATACATTACAGTTGTAGCTCTACAAGATGGACATGACCTAATGCTTTGAGGCAATACTTCGCATAGTTGTCCAAATATTCAAAGCACTCTATGACTGCAACCAACATACTTTAGACATAAATTATATTTTTAGAATTTTTATAAAATTTCTAAAATATATATATATTTTTAAATTACATACACATTATAATAATCAAATATATGTATTAACATATCAAATTAATATTTCATATATATATATTTTAATTACATAATCACATTTCATTATATATATATATATATATATATATATATATATATATAATAAAATATAGTTATGCAATTAAAAAAATATGTATAAAATATTGGTTTAGAGTTTAGAGCATTAGTAATAAAAATTAATTTTAAATAGAGGCTTATAAGATAAGAGGGAGATGTATTCTATATTTCTGTTTTTAAAGTATTTTGCATAATATGTAAAATTGGAATTTCTTTAGTATATTTTATTCCCTTCGCGAAGCTCGAGGCTGCTCCTTGAAAATGACAGATAAATGCTGTCACAAAACGTGACACAATCGCACGCTAGAAACGAGACGAAAGTTTATTTTTCCCCTCCTGTCTGTTCGACGTCATCTTGATATCATTTATTCTGTACATCTCGTTGCTGCATTATAACATTTTGTTAAATCTATTTATCCGAAACAAATGAGAGAGATAAAAAGTAAAGTTTTCAATCAGAGAGAAAATTCAATCTGTGAAAAATTTAATGTAAATTTTACTCTGTACCCTTTTATGTGCGTGTTTCCACAATTTTCAAAATTTATTTAAAAATTTATACACTGAAAAAAGAATTCTCAAAATAATAAATATTTTTATTTCAATACTGCCTTATAAATCATTTATTTGAAACATAAATATTTATCTGTTTTGAAAAACATTTTCTTAAATCAAATAAATATTTTTCAGATCAAATCAATATTATCAGTTTCAAATAAATGATTTATTAGACAGTATTGTAATAAATATTTTTTCAAATTTAATACATTTTTTCAGTGTATTCTGAAAATATTGTAAATTACTGACAAATCGATTGCTCGAGATGAAGAAGACGCAAAACGACCTCGTTCTTAACGATTTTCAGACAGAGCTTTGGTGTCGGAGCCTGATAACTCATCCGGCAGACCGATAACGAAGTCGACGAGCACGCCGGCCAGTTTGCAGACCATCGTCAGAATGCACGCCGGAAACAACGGCTCCTTGCATCACAAAGTAAGTAAGTCGCAAATGTAACGCCACCCGTCAATATAAAAGGGGAACGAGATCAAAATATCTCATTTCAAATAATGCATTGCCTTAATATTTTTCGAGTAAGACTTCACAGTAGAAAAATGTGTTTTCTTGTTAAAAACGGTTCCTGTTAAAATTTTTGTGTTAAATATTTAACACATTTATGTGATAATTTAACATATTACTGTTTTGTTAATTAAATGTTAAATTATTAAAATAACTAAAAAAATGCAAAAATGACGCAATGTGCATCTATTTTTAATTTTACACAATAAATATGTTCTGCTTTATTAGTGACAAGATTTATCTGTTAAAATTTGCAGAAAAATGTGGATTTTCTATTTTACAATATAAGTGGGGTGATAAAATCTAAAATTAACATATTTTTTGTTAATTTTTACATTAAAAGTATATTAATTTGACACAAAATTTATTTTAAATTATTTGAAGTTTTGCATTTATTTTGTGTTAAAATATTAACACAATATTTGTGTCGTTATTTAACATATCCATATATTATGTTAAATTAACACAAAAATTTCTGTGGGTCGTTTAGGACATGTGATATTTGTTAAATTTAATAAAAATTCTTCATCTGTGTTTCATTGAAAAATATTTTGTACAGAAATTGTGGGCTTTCGAGAGAGACATTTTGTCGTAAACATAGTTTTATTCCAATTAGAGACATTATATAAATTATAAATTTTTTTTAATCAAACGAGTATATTTTTAACACCGATTGGTTTATTTTATTATTCTATGTAGAAAATGATTAAAGTAAGATTATCAAAAAATGAATGTATTACAAGATATTTTATATATTTCTTTTTTTCAAAATGTGTCAGAATAAATTTATGCAAGAAAATTATGATTCCGTTTAAAAAATAATAACTTCAAAATAAAAAAATATATCCACTTAGAATAAAACTGCTTACAACAAGATGTCCTCGAAATCCTACAACTTTTATATAAACCTTTTTCGATGGAAGCATTAGTTTTCGTAAATTAATGATTTATATAGAGTATCCTGTACATTAATTATTATAGATATACTCTGATTTAATTAAATAAATAAATAGGGCTTTTTCTCGAATTTTTACAACTTGCGAAATTAAAAGCAATTAAATCTCTATGAAAAATCTATGCAAATCTCTCGACATAGCTTGTATTACGTTCTATTTTTCTGTTACTAACGTCGTAGTGTATTTTGCGAACGAATGTTCTGAATTCCTGATGTGTCTGCCTGTCCGCTCAGATAATCAAGGACATGACTAGCAGCCACTACGTGACTACGGGAAGACTGCGTTTCAGATTTATACAGGTTCTGCTTAATGCCATTGCCCTCCTGGTTATTGCCGGCGGTTTAGCCGCATACTTTAAAAGTGAGTTTATAAAATTAATATTTTATAAAATTAATAATTTTATTAAAATGAGTTTATAATCATATATTACACGAAAGCTGTTTTCCTTTCCTTATTTCTTCTCTTCGATAATTCAAATATTTTCTATGCAATATATACGGAGAGAATTTTCTCTTAGAATTTACCCTGAAAATCGTGGGATAATATGGTATTGGAAGAATTTTATACGAATTTTTCTGATTAATATTTACTACAATAAAATATTAATATTTATCATAATAAAATATAAAATATGTTTGATTAATTTTATTATGTATATATAGTAAAATTTATATGTACATATTAATACTTTTTATTTTGTGGTAAATATTAATCAAAGAAACCCTTACAAAAAGTTCTTCCAATACCATATTGTCCTACAATTACCATAATTTTCAAGATAAATTCAAAGAGAAAATTCTCTCTGCGTAGCGTACTATAAAAAAATTATTCAAACTTGAAAAACCGATTAAATATTATAATCAAGCATTAATGAATTAAAGTACCGTTACATTTTCCTCTTCTCCAAACTCTGGGTATAAATAAAATCGGCGAAGTAAAAATCGCGAAAAACATTGAACATACTGCGCGGTATCTGACCGAAATTAACACGATTGTTCTCGCGTCTCTAAACACTTTAATTCGCATGTATGTGCGGAACAACGTGGCTTCGCACAACCGAAAGATCAATAGCAGCACGAGTCTCACGATCCATTTGATTCCAAATGTTAACGTTAGCTCCTAGCAACAGATGCACGACATGTTTCTCGTTTATAATTTTATGTCATTTTTTTCTTTTACATAAAATATAATATATTCCATTCAATGCACCTTGAATTTGCAATCGACAAATTAATCCTCGAAAGCGATTGGTTTTTTTTCGAAGAAAAAATAATTCAAAAATAAAATCACATAATATCTTTGTACGGAACAAGTACGTGAAATTATTTGTGTCGATAATCGACGAGCCAAAAAAAAAAAATAATAATTTTAAGATCATCGGCATTTATCTGCGGACTGTTAAATAATTTTTTCCAATGTTAATGCATTTTATTTTTTCTAATATTTTTATGTATTTTATTCTTTCATATATTTTAATGTATATATTTATTAATGTATATGACTATTCTATTTTTCTGCAATTGCACAATCTAAAGTAACGCGCATATGTACACACACCAAGTGATAATATTTGCGAATATCTCGGCGTCGAGTGCCGTCGCGTGTCTCTGCGGATGACATGATAATAATTACGAAAGTTTACGAAACACACACATGCATACACGTCTCTTGGATTATACTAGACACTTTAATATGACTAATGTACGAGTATCGATATTTTTATTTCTTGCTTGAGTCGACGATTTAATTTATATTCAAGTAATTTGAATAATGATACATAAAATAAAAAATAAACGATGACAGACAATAAATATATTGTACTGATTTGCGTTTTAACGAATATTCTCTTGGATTTTGATTGTATAAGTAATTTTTTTTTTTTTTTCATTAATTAGCATATTTTAAAGGTGACTTAAAAAACGAAACTACAGCTGTCATCCCGATACCTGAACCCCCGGTTATATTAATAGAGGGCAAGAATCCAGCCCCAGGAATATGTCTACCCATCATCGTGACCTTTTGTAAGCAGCATAAGGTAACCGTCATATTTTGATCTAAATGTATATTCATGAGAGACTTAATATTAAATTTTAATTTGTTCAAGTAATCCAATCAATAATCCAAATTAAACAATTATTATATGTAATCAGGATTATTTTAATTAATTAATAATATATATCAGTGTAGAATTAATCGACGCAAAGTAATCAATTAACACGATTTATCAAATTGTGATTGATGTAATTGATTAAGTGTTAATCGATTTTTAGAATTAGTATATCTGACGGATGAATGTATTGTAATGTGTTATTACAGAAAAAACTTGTAATGTATTTATTCGCGTCACATATATTAATTTCAAAACGATTAAATTATTCAATTAATATTTAATTAATTACATTAATGATGACTTGATAAATCAATGATAAATCAATATGCAAAGAGTATGAAGATTCCTTTTCAGAAAGTGCATGAAAAGAGAAGACATTTTATGAAAAATATTAATTTCACCAGTATATATTTAATGTAAAATGTGATGTGAATTAACATGTCATACAAATAAGTGAACAAATTTGTTGGCATTGTTTTTATGTATTGTGTAGTATTTTTCTCCGTCGAATATTTAATATTTAATGTTTTTATTAAATTTTAAATATTAAATATAAAATAATAAAAAATAAAATTAAATTATATATATTTAATATTGTAAACTCACATAATGTCTTACATGATATATTGAATTAAATAATATTTTACATAAAGTTTCTCTCTCACTCTCTTTCTTTTGTAATGCAATTTGTCAAAGAAGAATCTTCTTTGTATCGATAAAAATATTCTTTGTATTAATATGTACAAAATTCAATTATATTATGACTTTGTTTTAATGCGAAGCTTATGTAAAGAATACTTTAGATTTACATCAATAATCTTTCTCTACGAGCTAATCTCAAGAATAAACGTGTCTAATATTTTCATATTATGGGCACGTAATCAATATACAATGTATATTGATAAAATGGATAAAAATGCAATTTCTGGTCGAGTTGATAAACTTTATGATAATGTTTTTCATCATCATATATTTCTCATAGTCACATGTCATTGATGTTTTCCAACGAACATCTTAATTCTAATCTAATTACATAATTTATTTAAGGTAACGGATCTACAATTTACAGTCTACAATCTAAATCATCTACATTCCTCTAATTTCTACAAAACCTCTAAATAATAAAATATAGTTTATTCACCAATCGATGCACAACAGCGGAATTGACTTCATCGAAGCTACGTCGATCTGTAACATAAAAACAGAATTCAAATTATAGCAGCGTAAAATAATTAATACTTTTAAAAATTATACAATATATATTATTTGAATTTTATATTCAACGTATACAATAATCAACAATATATAATTAATTAACTTTAAAAATTTTTCAGACTATTTATTTTAATATAAATTTTTGTAAGAATTTTTATATAAACTTTTATATATAAAAATATTTTTTTTCTAATTCTCTCTTGTTTAAACCATATAAATATATAGCAATAAAATTAACGTATATGTAATTTATGACAAAAAAAATATATATTATATTTTATATATTATATATATTATATATTATTATTATATATTATATATTATATATTATATATTATACAAATATAAAATAAATATTTACCACAAGGTTGCTTGGCTGGCGCCGAATGTCTCCCAGGCCTCCTCCAGGTTAGGATTGTCTGTCAAAATTTTCGATTTTACATGCGCGATACTTTAAACGACACTCCCGTACCAAAACACGCGATATTTTTGACAGACGATACTCTCGGATTTTTATAAATGCGCGATACTTTACACGACACTCCCGCACTTAATTAAGCGCGCGATATGTTGCATTTTGAATGTCTTCATTGCAGGCTGCCTAGATAAATTTTCTAAAAAAATTCCCTGAGAATTCTCTGATTTTTAAAATTCCAATAAATCAAGAAAATTTGTAAATGCAAATTTTTAATATAATTTTCTGTTTGTATATGATTTCTAATGCTTTCTATATATATTAATTAATTATAAAATTAATTTGCACAAATAAAAAAAAAATAATAAAATATTTTATATATATTTATTAATTATAAAATTAATTTGCACAAATAAAAAAAATAATAAAATACATCCTTAGACTTGTGTCTGAATCAATTTGTTTAATAAGCGAAAATTTGTCGATCATTATGCCGTATCAGATATGGGCATAATTATTTTCTTCTTTAGGTAACAGAATTATAATATCTACAATCTACACAAATCTACATCTACATTTTCACACTCTTATCTCTACAAAACCGATACCTCGTAAAAATAATAATTTACTATTCACCAATCGATACACACAGTTGACTGGAACGGACTGCAAGCTATGTTCACCTGTAACATATAAATAGAATAAAAATTGTAGTAGTGCTCAAGATATTTAATTTAATTTTTCAAACAATTATTATTATATTATTATTATGTATTATTAGATTTTATTTTATATGTGCATAATAATAATAATAATAATAATAAAAAAAACAATTAAATAATTTTATACAATTTGATTTAATACAACCAACAAATTTTGATTTAATATATTTAATAATAATAATTAAATAATAAATAAATTTTAATCGACAAATGTCCAACACTGTTCAATATGAAAACGTTTAACTCTTTTATACAAAACGTAATCGATAAGCTCTGTTTATCAGCAATTATTTATATCATATTTTACGGAAGAAAAAAAATATTTGGCCGTCTTCAAAGAAATTTAAAATAATTTTTCACGGAATGCGTGTAGGGAACACATATTCCGGAATTCATTGCGGCATGCCAGCTTGTTTCCGGCTCTCGGGAAAGAGTGACAACGCTGGTTTTTCCCTCCTGCAGGAAATGTTCGTCGGGACAGACATTAGAAGCAGCCGTCGTCGCTCGTAATTTCAAACGCATCCGTCCCTGAGAATATATTTTGAGATTTTTTTCCTCTATTTTTTCTCGACGCGATCTGCGCACGCTCGGACCGATATGATATACGTACGTTTTAAAATTCATAAAGCGCTCGTTGCCCGTCCTGGGAAACGCGCACGTGTCTGAGCATGAACGAAAGATCGAGGGAAAACGGGAAAAAAGTGTTATCATTAGGGGATTTAATATGGAAGTCTTAACGATTATGATAACAATTAAAGTTCCGCGTAGAGCTCGCGAATTTTATTTTATTAAGATAGAGATCTTGAACCGTTTGCAAGAAAATTAATTTTCTTCTCCCTTCCGAGATATCAATTAATTAATTTATTCTAATAAGCAGTCTTTTCAATTTTTATATTACAATACGGATTTTAAATATACTTTATCTAATTATTATCAGCGTTTACATTCTTACGATTTTTTTATTATATGTACAATAAAATATTTTATATATAATTATGTATAAATAATTGTATAGTTATATAAATGACATAATTATATAAATTTATATATAAATTATAAGGGTTTATATATAATATCATGTCAAATTATATATGAAACATATATTTATATATATGAAGAAATACTTATTTATTATATATATATAAATTTATATAATTATATATAAAAAGCACTTTTATCTAATTATGTGTGGATATATTTCATATATAATTTTGCGATTATATGTATAATTTTATATATCTTTATATAATTTTATACTGTTATATATAAAAGATTTTTTACCGAGCAACTAATGTCATTTCCGAGAGAATCGTGCACATAATCTCGCGTCTCAATTGCAGATTCCATACAACTATACCATATTCCCAAATTACATGGGCAATTTCGGACAGCGAGAGGCCCAGCACGAATTGGAGCTTTACGACGCCGTTGTCGATGTGAAATGTTACGAACTGGCGGCCTTATTTCTATGTAGCATCTTTGTGCCGAAATGCGGTTCTCGCGGTGGTGTCCCTGTACGTCCTTGTCGCAGTCTCTGCGTTCGTAAGTTTGCGCAATTTTTTCGTCATTTTCGGGATAAGAGATTTTTTATTTCTTAATTTTACAAAAAAAAAAAAAAATTATATTTTATTTTCACAAAATTATATTTTATAAAAAATAAATATAATTAATTAAATAATAAAATATAATTATAAAATTTTATTTTATTTTTATAAAATTATATTTTACAGACAATAAAATGTAATTAATTAAATTATAAAATAAAATATAATTATAAAATTTTATTTTATTTTTATTTATTTGTACTCAACAATTATTTATACTTATATCAATAGATTGCATTCTTGTTTTAATAAATTTGATCTAAATATATACATTTTCCAATAAATTATTTTAACATATAATTTTTTATTATTATTTCAATTATATGTTATAATATGACGATAAATGTTTTTTTTTTATTGCAACTGACGAAGAACGCTTATTCTGATTTTGTAAATAACATTCTTTTTGTATTATCCAACAAACGAGATATATGCGATGTATATTTTAATAACGTTTGTTCTCGCAGCTCGATTATGTAAATGTATGGTAAAATCTCTTATACCCGCTGAATCGCCATATTTTCTGAAACTTTGAATATCGCAACTACTTGATATTCTAGTCTCGAGATATTCGCGGCGAGGAAGTGAATTTCTTTTCAATCAATTTCAGAAACCAAGAAACGCTGCGGCTTCTTTTTCAAGGTTTTCGGTTTATATCTTCCGGAATATTTTGATTGCGACCTCCTCCCGGACAATCCGAATCCCGATGAATGCATTGGACACGAAGAGGTGATGGAGGCAGAGAATAGATTCAAGAATCCAGGTAAGTAAAAAATAAATTAAAAAAAAATGTTTTTTAGCACTTAAGTTTCAGCATCGGAACGCTAAATTTATATCTTTTATCACCTTATTTTTTATAATCTTCAACTTGTACAAACAAAAGACAAGTATATATTTTTTGATCAATTCAATTTTCTCTCGACTTTTTCATTGTTTATTTGCGTATATTGTTATATTTCGAGTAAGATTTTATTTTTCCAATTATTTGATTGAGATTTATCTCCTCGTCAACTTTTTTTGAAGATTATTTGTATCTTTAATAGAAATGAAGTTATCGAATAAAAGCAGGTGCCTGATAAAGAAACTGAGAAAATTGAAGGATTAAAATAATCTCGAAGGGATAATCGACCAAGAATTTATTCAATGAGAGAGGGACTTATTATATTTTTTTCCTTTTATGCTCTTAATAAAATGGATTTAAAAAGCAGCAGTTTGGATATTTCTAAGATTGAAAATAGCACAATCTTAACTATTTGCAGAATGCTGTTTACTTGACAGATAAAAATTAATTTATTATTTGTTCCTAATAAGTAATAAAAAAAGATAAGTCAAATGGAGAGCAAGATTAACAATATATAATATATTTTATATATTAATCTCTATCGTAAAATTTATCTTTCACTTTCGAAGGTTAATGTCAAATTAAATATTTATCATAATATGTATGCATACCATATTACGTATTACATAAAATATTTTGAGCATCATATGCCTTTGTGCGAAACAATAGGGGACTATATTATTTATGTATTTTCCGCCCTTTTGTTCTATACCGATTCATACGCGGACATTAAATATAGAATGCATCCATAAACGGAACTAATTGTTGACTAACTCGGTATTTATTGTTCGCTTATCATGTGTATTTCGGATTCTCTTTTATATCTTGGCGTTTGTCTATTCTCTCTCTCCCTCTTATCTTCTATTTTATATTGTCGTTTGGCTATTTCTCGAGTTAATTCTCTGGTTTCGATCGATCGACTAAATGCGCTCTCTTGAAACTTTCATTGTTGTAAAGATCCTTTTTGTGCTATTCGAGAAGGTATCACAGATATAATATATAAATATAATAATAAAAGATAAATAAATAATAAATAATAAAAATGGAATCATAATTTTGTAAAAATATAAATTGTAATATTTTAATGTTAAAGATAATGTTGCAGCTGCGTATCGCGATTAATTACAGTATAAATATGCAAATTAGTCCTATTTCTTTTTTAAATTTTATATCATTTTATATTAATTTATTTATATGTATATATTTTTATATATAGTAGTTTAATAGTAGTTTTATATTATAATAGTAAGTTTTATATTAATTTATTTATATGTATATATTTTATATATAGTAGTTCAATAGTAGTTCAATAGTAAGTTTATAGTAGTTTATAGTAGTTTTATAGTAAGTTTATAGTAGTTTATAGTAGTTTATAGTAGTTTTATAGTGTAGTTGATATAGTTTTTATAGTAGTTTTTATATAGTTTTTTATAGTAATTTTTTATAGTTTAGTTTTCATATATAGTAACAAACTATATGTTAGGAAATATTGCGGCACGAATGTTTGAGGATTAAAAGTAACGAGAGAGATGCGTAATATTCTCGAACTTTTTCGAAACAATACCGCGATTCGCTGAATTTAAAAGATAGTCACGTACACACGTCATACGCATAACGTGTACGCGATAACGACGTTTAAAAGCTCGCGGGATGATTTGCGACGCGAGAGGAGAGAGAATTAAATGATTGCGCACGAGCGCGCACACACGCTGCAATTTCCAAAGCAAATATTACGTAAATCGCGGCGACAAGCACGGCAAACGGGATTGATCGGAAGTGCTCGTGCGCCTCGTCGTCTCGCGCGTGCGGTGGAATTTAACTCACGATTGTCGGATCCGCGCCGATAAAGAGAGAAATCCATTCGCGTCCGCGCTTAATTAAGATTGAATTGCGTTGCAATTACAGGGTCCACTCGATTGGAGTTCAATGGACTCTTAAGATTTTTCAACGATGCTTCTCGACTTTTTTTCTTTCTTTCTATCTCGTCGCGTGAACTTCCGCTTCGCTCTCTTGGATGGCGATACTCCGTAATTTTTCGTAAATGTAAAAATGCGTTGATTTATATTCACGATGCGGATTGCATGTATTAATCGCGTCATCTTTTAATCAAATCTTTTTATATATGTACAAGTGCGAGAAATTTTAGATATGATGATATTTTGCCAAAATTAAGGGATCTTTCGTGTAAACATATATCTCTCTCTGAAAAGTTACACTTTAAAGAAAAGGAAAAAATTAGGATTTTATTTTTTTTTTTTAGACAAGTTAAAAAATGAAATTTGGTAAATATTTTTTATTAGTATCCTAAAAAGGATATTTATTAATATTTTTTTAATTCTCTCGCATTATTATAAGAGGATGAAACCTATATTCAATTTTTTATTAGAATTTTTTAACAAATCAAAATGTGATAATTTAAAAATATGTATTAGAAAGTTTGATTATTTTAGAAACTTATTTATTTCTTTTATTTAAAAAAATCAATAGTTAAGAAAAATAGAATTCATTATCATATACAGTACAATATAGCGTAGATTTTGAGTTGCGAGAAGTAGAATTTTAGAATAAAATAAGCAAACAAAACAAAATTATAGAAGATGTTAGAAGAAAAGGAAACAAAAATTAAATTTGAGAAATAATAAAAATCTAATTTTCACCTTCTTTTTAATTTTTGAATAAGAATTATCTTCTAAAATTTTTCGCACTCTTAAAATCATCCTGTAAACTAAAAAAAAAATTATTTGATTTAACAAAATCTGCGGTCGAATACGTGCAAATAAATATCAATGTAATAAGAACAAAATATTTTATTTTCAACAATTATTTATTTTATATATATTATATATATTTATTTTAACAATTATTTATTTTATTAAAAAATTATTTGATTTAACAAAATCTGCGGTCGAATAATTTTGTTTTCAGCGTACAAGTAAACGTAGATTCTCTCGATATTATATTACATAACTTGATAGAAGATCTTTCGGAAGTATACTTCTGTTATCTAGTATATTACATGTGGCAACTGGTAAAAGCAACATCTGATGGCGTAATTACGAAAGAAGTTTAGCGAAACGCTCCGGATGTAAACGTACGTGTCACCGCATATTGTGTACAGGCTGCATATCGCGGATTTTGTGTTGCCCCGAGTTACATCGCGTGTGTGTAACCGCTGATGGAATCTTAATTGCAAAATCCATATTAAACTATTATATGACGGCCCACCTGCGGCGTCAAGCAGCTTTATTGAGTCGTGCACGTGTACATACAACACGTCGCGTTTCCGATGCAATGCATATATATATATATATATATATGTATGTAGGTGTAAAAGTATTGAGCCGAACTACGACCACACGGGGTCGATCGTGTCTATCGTACGAGAAGACATATTGCGAAAGATATAATATCACGATGGCGGGGAATGTCGATAATGTTAACCTGTCTCTCCGCACGAAAATGTAATGTAGTAAGGTAGTTCAAAGACACTTCGATACGCGAGAGAGATCTCTTGACAGTTTTAAAATTTACCGATATTCCGAGAAAACTATAAAATAAGAACGCCGAGAGCTATTGTGTAAGATATCTTTGTCGTGATTTTTTTTTGTTAAACGTCAAAAATAATTTTGCAAAAATAACATATGCAGAAGAACCAGCTTTTCTGTGTATGTACATGTATTTGGACAATTTTACTTATTTGTACCTTTTAATATTAATTTTATTTGCCTAGGAGCAAAAAATATATTGTCCAGTGTTTCTTTAATGTATCATACGAAGAGAATCAATTATTTTCACGAATATCAAGTGAATATATTTCTATACATTTATATAATTTGATTCTTTTACACATATAAAAAAATGAAAACATCTATTTCAGAGAGTCTGTGCGAAAATATTAATTAATCCATTATCATTTTTATATATCATGATATTATATTGTAATAGAATTATATTATATTACATTGTAATATAATCATATTATATTACATTATTATTTATTATATATTCGATTATATTGTAACATTATATTATACCATTATATTATATAATTATAATATAATTTTACAATGAGCGACCGTGTCGAGCTGTTCCTCAAAATATTTCATTCCACAATTGTTCGACGCAAATAGTCTCCGTTAAATTTCGAACGTATGTGACATACTGAAAATTGACACGTGTCGGCTACTGAGAGAAGCGTTGGTTAATATTTAAACAGAGATACGCTATTGCAAATCGATATCGATCACGGAGGAAGCGACACGTGCAGTTTTCACGAGTCTGTTCGAATTCGTTTATGCAGTATGCACCAGCGGGTTTCAATGCGATCGCTCACGGTGTATCCCGTCGGATTGGCAATGCGACGGTCACGTGGACTGCGAGGATCACAGCGATGAGGCCGGATGTGAGAAGTGCAACTCCTCGGCGCCCGCCAGCAAGATGTACGGCAAACTGCGTCTAGGACCCTCGCTCGAGAGTAACTCTACCCCGGATTCGATACACTGTGGCCAAAAAACGTGCATGCTGTCCAATCATACCTGTGACGGAGTTATAAATTGTCCTTGGGGACAAGACGAGCGATATTGTCGTAAGCAAACTTCCGTATATCTCTACAGCTTTACACGTGTATACACAGTAGAGAAATTTCTTTTCTTGCTAGAAACGGTCCCCGTGACAATTTTTGTGTTAAATATTTAACACATTCATGTGTTTATTTAACATATTATTGTTTTGTTAATTGAACTTAAATGTTAAATTATTAAAATAACTGAAAACAGAGATGTAAAAATAACATACTGCGCATCTATTTTTAATTTTGCACAAAATTTATTTTATATGATTTGAAGTTTTGCATTTATTTTGTGTTAAAATATTAACACAATATTTGTGTCTTTATTTAACATATCCATATATTATGTTAAATTAACACGAAAATTTCTGTAGACCGTTTAGAACATGATATCAGTTTTTAACAGAAATTTTTCAACTGTGTATATTTTATTTTAAAAATTTACGAAAAAAATTAGTGACTAAATTTCAGCTGTTTCTATATTACACATGAAATTATCATGCCTCAATTTAGCTATGATAGCTAATATTTTTTAGCTATAGAATTCTCCGTTTAACTATGGAAAAATAATAATAATAATTTCCAAATTATTAAAGAAAATATGGACAAGTTTGTTTTAAGAAGAAATAATTTTTTATTTTTGTGTCTTATAATTTTTTTTCAATCGATATATCGTAGTATTTTGACACCTCAATAGGTCGCCAATTGTATATATTATTAAAAAGCAGTATTAATAAATAAACATATCAGTAATATGATATATGTCAGCTATGTTCAAAAAGTTTCAAAAATAATGTAAATGTTAAATGTATTTTTTAAAATATTTTCTAAATATTTCCTAAATATAAAAAAATCAATATCGTCTTTCAGTAAAATTGAGTGAGAGAAACGGGGATGTTGGCGAGGGCGTCTTGCAGGTGTATAAACCCGATTTGGGAAGATTTATGTCGGCATGTGTCGCGGATTGGGAATTAACACCGGCGGGAGAGATTTGTGCCATGCTGGGATATACGTAAGTCACTTTTCTTTCAATCCGATAAATTATGTAAAATCCAAATGTTCCGTTCAATTTAGATTTTTCGTGACGTAGCTCGGGAAAAAATTTTTATATGTAACAGTATAAAATTATACAGAAATATATAAAATTATATATATAATCGCAAAATTATATATGAAATATATGTCCATACATAATTAGATAAAAGTATTTTTTATATATAATTATATAAATTTTTATATAATTATAAATAAGTATTTCTTCTCATATATAATATATAAATATATATGTTTCATATATAATTTTACGATCATATGTATAATTGTGCAATTATTTGTAATTATCATTAAAAAGTTTTTTCCCGGGGGATACTATATCTTTTTATACGATATCAGTTTTTATATGATGTATAACTTTTTTTTCGATGTATTATTAGATATCTGCATCTCAGTATTATCAAGATTTTGTATTACTTTCTATACCGTAATGAAATAAAAATTGTCGATTTGTATTTCGTCAGGGTTTTGAGCAACTCCAGTTTGATAGGTAGCTCGAGACCGAACGGGATGAAAAACGAGATTGGGGAATATCGCAGGCTAAAGGATCTCAGTTTGCTGAAACGATTGCAAGACTGCATCAATAAGACGACGCCTTATCCTACAGTCAGACTCACTTGCACGGAATACGGTAAATTATTCCAAAATAAATTCTTTTCGCCTTCTCTCTTCTCGCTTCGAGGGAGGGTCCGTAAATTTGCTTTTAAAGAGGACGTTTTTTTGCGACTCGCTGACAAATCGATTCTGCTGCAGCCTGCGGCCGCAGAAATTCTATTTACAAAAACTTGAGAGTGAAACGAATTGTGGGTGGTGTGGAGTCAGCGCCTGGCGATTGGCCGTTTCTCGCAGCAGTTCTCGGTGGACCAGAAGAGATCTTTTACTGTGCCGGAGTTCTCATTGCCGATCAATGGGTCCTGACCGCGTCTCATTGCGTCGGCAAGTACGTAATCTATTTTAAACGGAACTATATACGTATACAATAGACAAATTTGTGTTTTCTTGTTACAAACGGTCTCCGTTCAAATTTTTTAATTATTAAAACAACTAAAAAAATGAAAAAATAACACAATGTGTATCTATTTTTTATTTTACACGATAAATATGTTCTGCTTTATTAGTGACAATTTATCTGTTAAAATTTGCAGAAAATATATTGACTTTTTATTTTATAATATAAGTGGGGTGATAAAATCTAAAATTAACATATTTTTACATTAAAACTATGTTAATTTAACAGAAAATTTATTTCAAATTACTTGAAATTTTGCATTTATTTTGTGTTAAAATATTCTCTATTTAACATATCCATATTATGCTAAATTAACACAAAAATTTCTATGGACCGTTTGGGACATGTGATTTCTGTTAAATTTAGCAGAAATTTTTCAACTGTGAAATCAATATTTGTGTTTAATTTATGCACGAAAATACGACTTGAAATTTTATGTGTAACAAAATTTTTCTATCGCATGTTTTAGTAAAAAAAATATATATGTGTAAAAATCAAAAAATGAGTTTATTCTCCCTCACGTGAACAGTTTTAGTCAGTCAGAGGTATCCGGCTGGACGATACAGCTCGGGCTTGCTAGAAGACTCTCTCACTCTTACGTAGGCCAGAAATTTAAAGTGAAACGCGTGATCGCTCATCCAAATTATAATCTGAATATCGCTCACGACAACGATATTGCGCTGTTTCAAGTAAGTGCATACTTTTATTAGGTGTTTCCAAACAATGTAATGTGCAAAATATTTTAGTTTTTACACTTGATATATCTGACACGTATATAAAATTATTTCCTATTTGGATTTAAATGTCATTTTTTTAGCGATATCTTTTCATATAATATATTTTGTGTCGTAGCTAGAGAAACGGGTTGATTATCACGACCATGTGAGGCCTGTGTGCTTACCAGCTGCTACCACCAATCTTACACCTGGTACAGTTTGTACAGTCATCGGTTGGGGCAAGAAAAATGACACCGATTGTAAGTATTTTATTTTATTATAATAAAATAAAATTTTTTCAGTGATTCTTTTCATTTTTTTTTCACTAAAAAATTATTGAATTAATAATATTTATTTCAATACTGCTTAACAAATCATTTATTTGAAACAAACAAATATTTATCTGTTCTGAAAAGAATTTTTTTATATTAAATAAATATTTTTACATCAAATCAATATTATTAGTTTCAAATAAATTATTAGGCAATATTGAAATAAATACTTATTTGAATTCAATAATTTTTTTTTTCAGGAGAATAGAGAAAAATAAAAATTTATGCACTTCCTATTCTTTTACAGTTGTGTGAAATATTTAAATGATAATTTTGAATTAAATTTTCTTTGAAATATGCGTATTTAAAACAAATTTTACAGACGATAAACTTGCTTTAAATTTTTTAATTAATTATAGAGAGTATAAAGATGGATTTACTTTTTTTTTCAAAAATGAATCCAATCATTTGTTATTCCATTTTTTTTTTCAGGGTCTGAATATGAGCCGGCCGTAAACGAGGTCGAAGTTCCTGTCATAAATCGAAGTCTTTGCAACATGTGGTTAGCGCATAAAGAATTGAACGTCACCGACGGAATGATTTGCGCTGGTTATATAGATGGAGGAAAGGACGCATGTCAGGTAAGTTTTTAAATAAATTTTATCTTGCGTGTGTGTTTTCCCCATAGATTACGTCGAAAAGTTTCATCTACATTGAGAAAAAAATTGCCAATGTTATTGTTCGAATACAACTATTTGATATTAATTATCGAGATATCTTCTAAACGAGAATGCAATCCTATACAGTACAAAATATTTTTAAAATTTTTTAAAAATTTTTCTTAAAAGATAAAATAATTCTCGAAAATATTTTTAAAATTTCCCCTATGTCTGCTTTTTTATGTTTAAAAATATTTTCAGAAACATTTTTGAATATAGATTTAAACTAATATTTCAAAAATATGTATTAAATATTTAAGAAAATATTATCTAAGCGATAAAGAAGAACATTTTTAAAAATATTTTTAAGTTTTTAAAATATTCTAAAAAATGTTATCACAAAAAATTTCTAAATCATTTAAAAATATTCCTGAAATTATTTTAAAATGTTTTTATTACTATTTTATAGAAATATTTAGAAATATTTTTGGAAAATATTCATAATATTTTGTATTACACGTGCAGGCAATGTGGCACTTTCGGTGCATGTTTTCTGTGCCGAAAGCGGCCGATTTCCCCCGCCGCCATCTAGCGGCGACACGGTGAGTGAATAAGCCGGTTTCAAAGCCATTATCTACGGCTGAGCCGCGTTAAAAGTCATTGTATACGGCTCAAGCCGTAGGAAATGTATTGAAACCGGCTATTCCCCACCTTGCCGCGGCAAGATGGCGGCGTGCGATCAGCCGCCTCGCGCACAGAAAACGCGCCGAAACAGCCACTTTGTCTGCACTTGCAATACAAAATAGTATGTGTATCAAGTGCGGATTGACAATTGTTCACTCGTGTGGGGTGGTCGCACTCGCCCTCGGCTCGTGCGTCCATCCCCGCACTCGTGACCAATTGTCAACTTTCCGCACTTGATACCAATATACTATTGTATTACACGTGCAGGCAATATAGTACTTTCGGTACATGTTTTCTGTGCCGAAAGCAGCCGATTTCCCCCGCCGCCATCTAGCGGCGACACGGTGAGTGAATAAGTCGGTTTCAAAGCCATTATCTACGGCTGAGCCGCGTTAAAAGTCATTGTATACGGCTCAAGCCGTAGGAAATGTATTGAAACCGGCTATTCCCTCACCGTGCCGCGGCAAGATGGCGGCGTGCGATCGGCCGCCTCGCGCACAGAAAACGCGCCGAAACAGCCACTTTGCCTGCACTTGCAATACAAAATAGTATGTATATTAAGTGCGGAAAGTTGACAATTGTTCACTCGTGACCAATTGTCAACTTTCCGCACTTGATACACAATATACTATTGTGCTGTATGGGATACCTATTAATAATCGTAGAACAGTTCTAATGTGTCTAAAAAAAATGTCACGTCCATGATAAATTTTGTTGCGAATAATAAATTACGCGAATCACTTTTCCTCATCAAGGGCGATTCCGGGGGCCTCTGTTGTGTCGGGACAACAACGATAGAGAGAGATGGTTCGTCGGCGGTATTGTCAGCTGGGGCATAAAATGCGCCCACCCAAAACTGCCCGGCGTCTACGCTTACGTGCCCAAATACGTATCGTGGATCCAACAAGAAATGTCTAAGTATTCCGAGATTGATAACTGCAACGAAAAGATGCAGTTCGAGACATTCAACAAAACAAATATATAATTGGACAATATCAAAATAACCGAAGTAACTAAAATGGAGATGAAAAAGAGTAAATATATATGATCTATATCGTCTTAAACATCATTCACAGAAGATAGTATTTTCTACATATCTCAGAAGAGAAGAGAGAGCTGTATTAAGCAAAGATCATCAATCTCGTCAATTGAATAATCACGGATGACAGAATAAGAATCGCGATTGCCAAACTTTGGACGATCGAATGTCGACGGAGTGCGATCAATCTTTCCTCGAGTGATAACAATAAGATTGATTCAATTAATCGTGGCGGAAAAAATTCCTTCTCATATCACGCTATGCATTACAAATCGCATGCCCGAATATTGGATATTTGCTCTATCGTAATACTCTCATTGTCAGTCATAGCTCGGCTACGAACACAAAGTTTCATCCCTTCGCGACTTTTCGTAAGAAGAATTATTTGATAAGCCATTCGGAACTAAAGGAGAACCAGATAATCGGAAACATATAGGATACACTATTCTTTACTTAAATGGAGCTGCATACGGACGCCGTGGATGTTTGCGTACATAAGTTCAAATAAAATAAGCCATTTTCTAGGAAATTACTAGACACAAAAGAGAGGATCAACCATGCCGATGCGTGTACTTTTGGTATTGAAATAAGAAAACCAAAAAAACTCGAGGCTTTGTGCACAAAATGAAAATCACCGCATATGATGCGACAAAAAATATTTTGTATCGCTGCCGATTTTAGGACAGCTGTATATGAGCCACCAAGTGGTCGAAATTCTTGATTTAAAGGGTGTGCGTTTAACGATATTCATTGATAATTAACGTTTAATGGTATTGATATGAGTCGTTTTTTGAGAGCGGAATGAGCGATGTAAGTAATAATAGATTATACATATTTTAGAATCCATATGTGAGATGCTTATTTTATAACACAAAATTTTTTAATCTTTCGTTTATGATCACGTGAATAAAAATATATTAAGCAGCTGAATTAATCATTAAATATAAATATTTAATAATCTGTGATTTACATGAACAATTCTCATAGAATAGGAGAGAAAACATTTTTATTTTGAAATAGATCTATATTTGCATAGATTTTTCATTTATACATCTTATATTCCTGTGTAGAAAGAAAAGTGAGAGAAAGGTTTTTCAAAAATTTGTGATACACATGCACAGAGATATCTTAATAATATCAGAAATTAATTTAACGAGTATTGTTAAGGTAAAGAAAAATATATTGAAAAAAAATGCGCAATATATATAATCGACAAACTGTATTTTTGTAAACGAACGAGTTAAACGCACACCCACTAAAAAAGAAGAGTCGTACACGATTATTGCATGAAATGCGATCAGTGTGTACCGTCGGATAAATATTTTAAATGAAAAATATTACAACATACGACAATATATCCTACGACAAGAACCGTCTATGTGCTTATCGATGTAAAAAAAAAAAAATAATGCATTGCAACGTATGTCTAGTCAGTTCTATCTATTATAATAATCGTGTTTGTCGGAAACATGAGTCACGCACCTAAAATCTACAGTCGCATGTGTAAATATATAGACGTTATCTTGCATACTGTGTCTTCCCCTGGATACGATAAACGCTAAATAAATCGTGCAATTCAATATTTAATCCGTATTTATGCGTGTAAACATACGAGGTGGAAATCTCAAGAATGTGTTAATATATGAACTGCCATGACAGAGTAATATATCAGCGCGTATCTTACTGCAAACGTCACTACATATTTGATGAGAATATGTTAGCGTTGCAGTCTAAATGCTCGTTTGTGTTTATGCAATTTTGTTTATTTTGGACTTTCCAGCGTTTATCGTATCAAAAGGTACAGCATGCCGGAACTCTCTGATGTTAGGCTGAGCCAAACAGAAAACTTGATAAATTTCTTATATTTATGAGTTACAACTATGAGTTTTGATATTTATTAAGAATGTTAAGGAAATGCTGACCGTGACTGTTTTACCGACTTTAAGTTTAAGAGCTTTTTTTTTTATTGGCTATACAGTTTGAAAAATCTGTCTCCACAATTAAAGTACTGATAATAATGAATGAGGAGCGCTGTAATTTTATATAAAAAAACAATAAAAGTTCAAAAATTACAGTTTCTTTATCTCTTGCATCAACAATACTTATTTAATACAAAGGTTCCGCAGTTTATTTGTGCACAAAATATGGCATTCTTAATAGAGATGACATGAAAGAATAATACAGAAGTAATAAAAATGAGATTAAAAGCCTGTATCAAAAGATTCGTACTTGAATTAATTATGTATGTATATTTGCATGCGGAATCAATGACATAAAACAGCAAAAATTAGTTGCAGGACAACGCTCCCCATTCATTATTATCAGTACTTTCATTGTGGAGGATTTTTCAATCTGTATATTCAATAAAAAGTGAACCTAACTTAACTTGAAGTCGGTAAAACAGAACAACGGCAGCATCCCCTTAAATATTTTTTTAATATGCAAGTATATTAAAGATCTTTTTATTAATTTAAAAAATGCACAGTATCTGAAATTTCCTGTATATATATATATTATATACAGATATATACAGAAAGTTTTAGATATACTATGAATTTTATTTATATATCGCAATAAATAAATGTTCAATTGATTATGTTGCTGACATGTTTTAAAGAAAAAAATTAATTGCAAATAAAAGGATTTAATGTTGCGCAGCGTTGCTCAGCCTGCCATATTTTAATTCAATACGAAGTATTCGATACATTTGCAACAAACGTATCGAGCACTAAATAAGTTGTACTTATAAAAGTCGTTATAAATAATTTGAAGCATGTAGAGGCTTGTAGATTAGTGTTTGTAGACAGTGGCGGATTTTTTATTAGGCGCAATAATAAGAATATCATTGAATGGAAGAAATTCCAAATCAAGAGTTGCGTTTAAATAAAGGCCTAACAGTGGTCGAGATCCGCTTCTGTACGTAGGGCCTATGTATTCGATATAGTCGTAAGAAACATGTTGACTGAATTCTAGGGACAATACTTTGCACCAGCACCTTTTTGATCTGCACACTCTAGGGAAATCGTTTTTCAATGAGTATACTTTATACAAGATATCTATCGTTTACGGGATCTCTATAGGAGCCTTACTCTCTAACTGACTTAGACTTTTTCTAAGCGGCGAGACGAATAGCATCAGTATTGTTGGCCGAGATGACAATAATTAGTATTCAGCTTAGTTTAGTTATGAGCTATATTTAATTATTTAATCGCTTGTTACTCTTGGAATGCAAAATTTATAGTCTAATTTTACGCTGAATGTATTCCACAACAAGATTTAAATAGATGATCAAAAAATTACGAGATACAAATTTATATAACTAAAAGTAGTAGTAGAGCGAATTTCAAATAAAGCATTAAAGCTCAAGGATTTGGCTTTAAAATTTCGGCAAGATTTTAAATTTAGACAAAGCTGTTTTGAACGTATTTCTTGTCATTTAAGAAAAAAAACAACGTATCTTTTGTTGTATTTTAATAAAATAGTGATATTTTGTGCATTATTTATAATATAAGTGATATTTAATAGAGTTTATTTTAGATTAAAAAAAATTCATCCTTATAGTAATTTATTTTTTGCAAATGCATTAGATAAAGAAAGCTTCTTTTATTATTTAAAGAAAATATTGTAGTACTTCGAACATCTCAGAATAATTTTTTAAGACAAGAACTTATACAGACAACAAGAAAAAAAAAACGTTGGACAATAATAGTCTTCCTTAGTATCCAGACAACAGTTTAGTTGTAAAAATGGATAATATATTTAAATAACCGACAATACTGTGTGAGCAGACAATAAATAGAATTAGGAAATGTTCCATGATGGACAATAAATTATTTATTAAGAAATAAAATAAGGAATTATTTGTAAATTTAGGATACGAAAGTGATGAGTTAGATAATTAGAATATATAATTGTAATTCGGGGATGTATAATCTATTAAAATTATCCTCATAATTATTGTAAGAGGTAAAGGTATACTGCACAATCGCGGAAATTTATTATTTGGTGGAAGAGAAAGCTAATATTTATATATTCTATTTTGCATTATCAAATATTTTTGCGGAATATATCGCGTACGTATATATTATACGTTATTTTTTCATTTAAAGAAAGATAAGATAGAGACAATCAGAAGTGGCAGTATCTTATTTTTATAATTATTTGTTACATTTTATGTCAGCGCGTAATTATTATGCATTATCATATAACAATAATCATAATAATTAAAAAATTATTAACAATTACTACAATTATTACAATTATTTATCTATTATTATATATAATTATATATTATTATATATAATAACATTCTTATAATCATCATAGATATGAGCAATTGATAATTTTCTTTCTTGCATTTTCGTGTTAAGTTAAAGAACAGTAACTGCCAATTATAAAGTATGAATTTTTTCTATTTACATATCTACATTATATCGTAATATTCTAAGTAACAATTATTATTTTTTTATTTGCATCTAATATACACTTTTATAAATTTTGATTTTATATGTATAAAAGATTAAATTTATTTTATATATTATTATTATTAAATTTTCATAAAAATATGATTTATATTTTATTTTTTATAAAGCTTCATATTTATATTTTTTTTCAAACATTTTTCATTATTAATATTTTTTAATAATTTATCGATACAAACACAAATATTTTTGATCGCAGGTGCGCAAACAAAATATTGTGATGAAGTGTAAAGTCAATGATTAATATTAGATATATGTATATTAAATATATATACATATACATATGTATTAATGAAAAAAAACATATATACATATGGATAATATAAAGTGAAAATATAGCTAATATATGTGTAATATACTGAAAAAATTAGTGTAAGATTTTATAGTTACAGAGAGATAAGTATTATAGTAACAAATATTTACGAGAAATCAAACATGCGAGAAATTTAATTTTATTGTTTATGGTTTAATACTACAAATTTTATTTTATTCGGAATATTTTCGGACAAGATATTCTAGGATAATTAAAAGAGATATTGTCGTAAATAAATGTATAGAATCAGTTTTTAAGTTTTAGAAAAAGTACGCAATAATGCGTAAATATATTTGTATAAACGTATATTAATAGCAAGAAAGAATGTTTTGCATTTTATTTTGTATCAAAACAATTTGAGATTACTATATGAACAAATTTATATTCTATGTAAAGGCAACGGCATGATTGAATTGTTCGAAAGAAAAAAAAAATATTCGACTTTTAATGTGTCGAATTGTTCGAACCGATTTTCAACGAGAGCAATTCAAGTGTCAAAGAAAGTTCTGTTTATGATTTCAATTTTTGTCAATTTTTTTCCTTACTGTCGCATATAATGCGAACTAGATAAAGAATTATATGATGAAGCATAAGGATATAACTTATACTATATTTATTTTTGCATAAGTATGTATACACGAACAGTAACATTAGCGAGTGAAAAAAAACTTTCTAATATAAACTGTCACAGAAAATATTTCCAAGATCAATGTATACCCTAAGGTATAATTTCTAAAGAAAAGCTATATATAATATTAGTTACTAGATTTAAAGATCGTTTCAAACAGATGAAGATTCTACGTCAGAAGACTTGCGCAAATTAATATTTGTGGTCGATTTAAAGAGCAGTTGTAGTGTTGTGTTAATTTATATGTTAATTGTTACATGTATGGTAAATTTATATGTAAGATTCGTTAGACTCTTGTAGACCGCTCGCGTAAAGTTCTGTAACTCGATGAAAGTATATTTCGCTTTGTGTTCTGTGTAGTTATAATTCTCTCGAGTAATTTGCGCCGACGAATCTTTACTTTTGCGTCACACTCGTTCACCCGAGAATAATATATCAGTTTCTAGTAGAGAAGTCTCTACTTACGCTCGTGAATAGTGACTTCGTAAGTATTCG